GTAGATTAGGCTGGCCTTAAACTCAGAGAGATTCACCTGCTGCTACCTCCTGAGCGGATTAAAGGCACAAACCACTATGTAGCACAAAAAGTGCTACAATTAAGTGGCACAAAAAACCACTTAAGTTTTTGAGAGAGGGTCTCTCACTGACCTAGAGCTTGCTACGTAGGTTAGGCTAGTTGGTCAGTGACTCCCAAGGATCCACCTGTCTCTTCCTCCCTAGCACTGAGATCAAAAGTACATGCTACCTGGGGCTAGAGAGATGGCTCAGAGGTTAAGAGCACCGACTGCTCTTCCAGAGGTCCTGAGTTCAATTCCCAGCAACCACATGGTGGCTCACAACCATCTGTTATGAGATCTGGTGCCCTCTTCTAGTGTGCAGATATACATGGAAACAGAATGTTGTATACATAATAAATAAATAAAATCTTTAAAAAAAAAGTACATGCTACCTTATCTGGCTTTTTATGTGAGTGCTGGGGTTGTAACTGAAGTCCTCCCCAGCAACTGAACATAAAGACTTAAAAATAATACACAGCATCCATCCACTAGACAGTGGACTCTGAGCTCCTAGCGTGCAGCAGGCATGCATTCATTTGCTTGATGAAGTCATACTTATATGAGCTTGTGTTCATATCAGAAATGTATGCCTTGATTTCCCCAATAATCATTTTGCTATTTAAGTCACTGTATGGTTACTCTGCATCCTTTCATGGGATTCTTGAAAACCTACTCAGTCAGGAGTCCGTCTTTGTAAGTCATTTTAGAATGCAGTCAAATCTGACAGAATTCCATATTGCCAGTATTTTCTTTTTTTGTAAAGGATATCATAAGGACAAGTGGCAGAATTTTAATAATGTTGTAGTATCATTATTAAAGTACTGTATCAATTCTGATTGGTTACCGTGTAACACATGCACCTGTTTTTCTTTCTTTTCTTTTTTTTAGTTTGTTTGTTTGAGACAGGGTATCTCTGAAGTAGCCTTGACTGTCCTGTATGCCAAGCAGGCCTTCAACTCAGAGAGATCCTTTGCCTCCCAAGGTGTGCACCATCATACAGTGTTCTTGTTTCTAATAAATAATACCCTCAAATATTAAAAGGTAACAATAACTGTAGCTGATTCACAAATGGCTCAGAAAGAATTTTTTCTCCTTTTCTCTCTATTTTCCTCCACTCCCATATTACTCAATTGCTCTACTGTTGTACTATACTCCCCAACTTTCTCTCCCTCCCTCCCACTCCAATTCTCATTTTTTTTAAAGATTTTATTTATTATGTATGCAACATTCTGCTTCCATGTATATCTGCACACCAGAAGAGGGCACCAGATCTCATAACAGATGGTTGTGAGCCACCATGTGGTTGCTGGGAATTGAACTCAGGACCTCTGGAAGAACAGCCAGTGCTCTTAACCTCTGAGCCATTTCTCCAGCTCCTCCCTCTCCCCTCCCTCCCTCCCTCTCTCTCTCTCTCTGTGTCCCTCCCCTCCCCCCCAATCACTGCTTCCCTTTTCTTCAACTTTACATGCTTAAGCATTTGAATTCCATAAGGTTTGTGAAATACACTACAGCTTTCTTCTCTCTTCTTCAGAGGCAGTGGTTTTCTGGTTTGTTTTGTTTTGTTTTTTAATTTGTTTTTTACATTCCAATCCCAGTTCCCCCTCCCTCCTCTCCTCCCGCTCCCCCCCATTTGCCCCCCACCTCCCATCTGCTCCATAAGGAGGGTAAGGCCTCTCCTAGGAAGCCTACTAATCTGTCCCATCATCTGTTTGAGGCAGGACCAAGGCATCTCTCCACCCCCCACACCCCTGTGTCTAGGCAGAGCAAGGTATCTCTCCATATAGAAAGGGCTCCACTAAGTTAGTTTGTGCATTAGTGTTAGATCTTAGACCCACTGCTAGTGGCCTCATATACTTTCCTAGTCTCTCTGTTTTCTCATTTTAACATGCTTTTGGGGTTTATCTCCTCATTTCTAAGTAATGTACTTAATTTACTATGTCTTGGCTTTTTAGCAGTGGGTATTACTGATGAAGGGTTTCATTCTTGGAGGAGTTTTTTTTTTTTTTTTTTTTTCTTGTTTCTTTTTTTCTTTTTGAAAGCCTGTGGCAAAAGTTTGCTGTTACTGGAACAAAGAATGCAGGAAGAGCTAAGAGGAAGAAATGTAGGCTGCACAAGGCTGCAGACTTAGTTGGGTTCCATGATGGTGACTTGAGACTTTGTCTTTTAAAGACAGCGATGCTTTTTGAGCAAGGGAGTATTGTGATTATATTTGTTTGGGCATGGATATTGGTCTGTTGGGAGATCCCAGGTGTGGAGACCAAAGAGCAAGAAGGATGTTGCAGTAGTCTTTGGAGTGGGGGGTGCTGAGTTTTAGGGTTTTGTTTGTTTGTTTTGTATAATTGAGTAGGATGCACTAGTCTCTTGTACCAAGCTGTTGAATTTTAATTTCTGTGTGTTTGAATCCTATATCTGTCAAGACATGAAACATTTTCAGGCCCCCACCCCTTATAATTCCCTGATGCCAATTTGGTATGGTGGTACAGACCTGTAACCCTAGCTAGCATTTGGCATGTGGAGACAGGATCAGGAGGAGTTCAAGATAATCTTTGGCTACATGAGACCCTGTCTAAAAAGACAGAAACAAAACACACTCCCTGGTGCCAAACAAGAAGGTCTGGAACTAACTCTGGGTGGAAGCCAGAAAATAAGGTGGAGCTAAAGATGACTGCAAACTTGGGAGTCAGGGTGGACTGGGTGGTGATACTAGTGCCCAAAAGAGGTAAGAGGGGAGGGAGGGGTTGGGTAGGAAGATCAGTTCAGTATGTTTTGTTGAGTTTGAGATGCCATGGAATCCAAAGGGTAGAGACTAATAGGAATGTAAATTTAGAGTTGTGGGGGAAGAAATTGAGATTGCAGCATAGATTTGTTTTCATCAGTGTCTGAGGTCTGTTGAGAGCTAACAAGCAGATAAAGGTTCCCTAGAGAGGCTCTAGAACTCAGGTGTGTTCAGCCTGTGCCCCAGGATAGCTATAAATGGGACTCAACACAAAAATGATAAACTTCCTTCAAATGTTGGTTATTTTGTTGTTTTGTTAGAAGATTTGTTTTTGAGACAGGATATCACTATTACTGAGATGACTAGCTTGTTATATAGGTGCTGGGAACTTCATGCTTTACGTGGCACAAACTGACACCCATTTCCCAGCTCCTAGTTAGTTTGTTTTTCTTTTGTTTTTTTTTCTAGACAGGGTTTCTCTGAAGCTCTAGCTGTCCTGGAACTCACTCTGTAGACCAGGCTGACCTTGAACTCACAGAGATCCACCTTTACTCTGACTGTGCCTCCCAAGTGCTGGGATTAAAGACATGCACCACCACCACCCAGCCTGCTGCTTGTTCTTAACAGTTGTCCTTCCTAAGTAAAAATTTACCTTCTTTGTTGTTATTCTTCTCCCTCCCACTCCCCAGACGGGTTTTCATTTGTTTTTGTTATTTTTTGTTGTTGTTGTTTTTGGGGGGGGGGGGTTTGTGTCGGCCTGGCTGTCTTGGAACTTGATCTGTAGACCAGGCTGGCCTTTAACTTCCAGAGTTCTGCCTGCCTTTGCCTCCCGAGTGCTAGGATTAAAGGTGTGCAACCACTGCCAGGCTTTATTCTTTAATTTTTTATTTTTATTTAGTGTGTGTGCATGTGTTTAGGGGTCTTCTCAGGGAAGCCTTATCCACCCATGTGGAGTACCTCCATTGAAACCCCTTAATTTTTTTTTAAAGATTATTTTACAAAGTACATGGTTTCTTTTTTTTTTTTTTTAACTTTTTTTTAAAGATTTTATTTATTATTATGTCTTCTGCCTGCATGCCAGCAGAGGGCACCAGATCTCATTCAAGGAGGTTGTGGTTGCTGGGAATTGAACTAGGACCTCTGGAAGAACAGTCATACCCCTTTCTCATACCCCTTTCAAGGAACTTTTCTCATCTGGCTATATTACATGTATTATTGTGGGCACCTGCGTGCCACACACAGCTCATGTGTGGGAGTCAGAGGACAGTTATCGTGTGGATCCCAGGGATTGAACTCAAGTTATCAATCAGCCTTAATAGCAAAAGCCTTTAGCTGCTGAGCTCTCACACCAGCCCTCTTTTCATGTTTATGTGTGCATTACCATTGAAGAAGGTTAATAGGCACCTGCTGCAGCCTAATGCCAATAGTCGTTTGAAATACTATAGTTCACTGGCATTAAGAACGACTAATATGAGCCGGGTGCTGGTGGTGCATGCCTGTAATCCTAACAATGGGGAGGCAGAAGCAGGTGGATCTCTTGAGTTCAAGGCCAGTCTGGTTTACAAAGCAAGTTCCAGGACAGCCAAAATTGTTACACAGAGAAACCCTGTCTCAAAAAAACAAACAAAACAAAAAAATGCTATGACCAGGCCGTGCTGCACATGCCTTTAATCCCTTCACTCAGAGGATGATACAGGTGGATTTCTATGAGTTCAAGGCCAGCCTGGTGTATAGAGCTAGTTCCAGGACAGCTGGGGCTATATAGAAACCCTGTCTTGAAAAAGCCCCCCCCCCAAAAAAAAAAACGGCTGGTAGTAAAAACTTGGCACATATTTTGTATTATAAAACCAAATTTACTTTTGGACATATGATTACTTTGTTAATAAGTTAAAACAGTATCTTTTAGACTAGGTTGTCTATATATTTTTATATTATTTATTAGAACAAAGGAAATCATGCTCCCTGAATATAATAGTGTGCTTAGAAGCTGTTTCAGAAAATCAGTGTTAAACATTGTTGATTCTGTCCTTACTCTCCCCCTTTCATTGTTCATAATTGATTTTTAAACCATTTCTCTGAAAATAAGCATAGCCTTAGTGTTTCATCAGTCTGTTACTTAATTCCCAAGGTATATTATTCTACAAATCTCTCAGGACTTAGATATTTAAGTAGAAAATTTTTTTCTTGCTGTGATTTCAACATACATTTTTAATTGCTCTCTTAGATTCATCATGTTACAGAAAATGGAGGACTTTATAAAAGACCGTTTAATGAAGTTTTTGAAGAAACACCCATGTTGGTTGCTGTGCTCACATATGTAGGGTATGGCGTACTCACCCTCTTTGGATATCTTCGAGATTTCTTGAGGCATTGGAGAATTGAAAAGTGCCACCATGCAACAGAAAGAGAAGAACAAAAGGTAACTGTCAGGGAGTCTTTGGTTCTGTGAAATAGGATCTGTTTGTAGAAATGCTGTCAATCTTCACACAGTCTTTCCCCCTCCCAAGTGGAAATCTGGGCACATGGAGTTAAACTTTGAGACAGGAGGACTGCTGTGACTTTGAGGACAGCCTAGGATACAGAGTGAGACTCTTGTCTCATAACAAAGCAGAAACCAAACAACTGTAACAAAAACTTTGTGAAAATACTCCAAGGAAAGCTGAAGACAATGTTGAAGACATGAAAAGACCAACACATTTGGGGCTGGAGAGACGCTCAGTGGCTAAGAGCACTTGCTCTTGCAGAGAACCTGGGTTCAGTTCCTAGTATCCATGTGGGGGCTCACAGCTGCACCCTCTGACCCACATACAAACATGCAGGCAAAATACTCACATGTGGGTAAAACAAACATCTAGGACAAAAACAGAGCAAAATATTTAACTTTTTTTTTGTTCTTTTTGAGACAGGGTTTCTCTATAGCCTGGTTATCGAACACCAGGCTGGCTTCCAGAGAACCACCTACCTGCTTTTTTCTGAGTGCTGGGATTAAAGATGTGCACTACCACTGCCGTGCAACATTTAAATTTTTTAACTTAACCACACCACAAAAATTTAATGAAGCTGACAATAGTATCCTTATTCATAGATTAGAAAGCTAAAAATCACAAGCAATGTGTCTAAAAGTTGGGGAGCATTACAGCTTATATGATGAGGAAGGAATGATCACCTTTCTTTCTGGATCCTGCATTGTGTTTATAATGTTCTACAGAGACTGGATTCTCTTGTCCAGTTCACAGGTCAGTGCCTGTCCCCAAACAAACATGTCCCCAAGCTGAATGTGGCTAGGGCAGTCTGTTTACAGCATCAAAGGCTCCTGTTTTAGTAAAGAGAGGGTAGTGTCTCTCTCCAAAGAGGAACATCAGATTCACTTCGGGCCACTCTTCTCAGAATATTCTTATATATACCTTTACAACTTAATACAATGCACATGTGTTACCTATTCCTAATAAACACCAGGCTGAAAAAAAATTTTAAATTACTTTTTGAGAATTTCATGCAATGTGTTGTGATCATATCCACCACCACCCTCATCCTCTCTTCTATTCATTCTCCCTGGACCTCTCCCAACTTTGTCCTTTTCATTTAGTTATTTTTAAAAAATATTCCACTACATTCAATTATGCTGCTTGTATGTGCCTGAGTGTGGGACATCCATTGGAGCATGGGAATCTACCAGTAGCTGTGAGTGTCTATAAGGATTGCTGTGAGTTCAAAGACATCCTTGGCTAACTTGTGAGTTTCAGGCCAGACTGGAATATTGAGTGAGACTCTGTCTCAGAAACAAACAAAACAAAACAGGCTGGTCTGTTTAAGATATTTGGGAGGTTGAGGTTGAAGGATTGTTGGAGATCAGGAGTTCAACCTGGGTAACATAACAAGACCCTGGATAAAGGCCCTTGTCAGTTATTAGGAAAACAGACCCAAACAGTGCATATATACATGGACTCAGAAATTTCAGATCCCTTGAGGCTATAGATAATGGCTCAGCTACTCTTTAGAGGACCCTGGTTTGAGTCCTAGAATCTATGTGGCAACTCACAACCCTGTGCATCTGTAACTCCAATCCCGGGGACCCAACTTACTTACTCATTTGTTTGTTTGTTTATTTTTGAGGCTGGGTTCCTCTACATAGCCTTGGATGTCTTGGAACTCTCTTTATAGACAAGGCTGGTGTTGGGATTAAAGGCATGCACTAACATACCTGGCCCAGTGCCATTTTCTGACCTCCAAGGGCATCAGGAACACATGGGTACACATACATACATGCAGACAAAACACCCAAGCACATAAAATGAACAAAAGTTTTACAAAGAAGAAAATTCAGATCCCTGAGGACTCAAGATCAAGTGTCTTTCTCTTTCACCTCAACCATTTTGTGCCTGCTTTCCAGCCTAGCCCTATAACACATTGCCTTTCTACACATTGCCCTGAAATGTCTACAAGGTAATTAATTTCATTTCATTTTTCAGGCCAGCTATGGTGGTACAGACACTTACCTTAGTCCCAGCACTTCGAGAGGCAGAGTCAGAAATCTCTGATTTCAAGGTTAGCCTGGTCTACATAATGAATTCCAGGACTATATAAGCAGACCCTGCTCAAAAAAAAAAAAAAAAAAAAAAAAAAAAAAATTAAAAAAAATTTCCTTTTTTTTTGACTTAAAAAAAATTTCCTTTTTTTTAGTGTGTTTTTCAGGGGTAATGAAATGCCTCAGTGGTTAAGAGCTTTGGCTGCTCTTCCTTCCAGGCTTTGATTCCCAGCACTCATATAGTTGTTCACAACCATCTATAACTCCAGTTCTAGGGGATCCGATACCATCTTCTGGCCTCTTCTACAGGCAACTCATATGGTCATGTGCACAGATATACATGCAGGTAAAACACCCATACACACAAAATATAAATAAATAATAAGTCTTAGAATAACAACAAAAAAACCCCTCCAAAAACCATTTTTAAAGAGTTTTGGTTTTATTTTTTAAAAAGACAACACAGTAAAGCCCTATTCAAAACTTAAGTAGACAAAACCAATTTTTATGATTGGAAACCTGAACACATATTTGATTCTCTTATTCCAGCTGAGTACGTCTACCCAGAGTGAATCCATAGAAGTGCTCACTTTGTTCACTCTCGGTTAGTTTTTTAGCTACTTACTGTGCTGTATAGTGGTTCATTTGTATAATCACTTTCTGTTGGACCAAATTGAAGGTGGTTGTGAGTGATAGTAGCTAAAGTTTTGTAACTGCAGGAGGAATATTTGGGAGGACCTGAAATATTTATGAGTTTTGAATGACAAAGGAGGAGGCAATGGGGAGATCTGGGCAGTATTTGAGCAGGGGGCCTGTCATGGGCTTGTGCAGCTGCTACCAAGAATGTGGGGGCTGACAAGAAATTGTAACAATGAATCTGGGTTACTTTGTGAATTAATCCTTATCTTTGGATCTTGTGTGGTGTTCCTGGAGGGTAAGTTGATAGTTTAATTATTGGGTGCTACTTAATGTATATTTAATTTTATGTGAAAATAGGACATTCAGGGCGTGTGTGTGTGTGTGTGTGTGTGTGTGTGTGTGTGTGTGTGTGTGTGTGTGTGTGTGTGAGAGAGGGTTTCTGTGGGGGTTTGTAGGCTGTCCTGGAACTAGCTCTTGTAGACCAGGCTGGTCTCAAACTCACAGAGATTCAACTGCTTCTGCCTCCCGAGTGCTGGGACTATAGGCGTGCGCCACCACCGCCTGGCCACGATTTTATTCTTAAGTAGATTCTAATTTTGTTGAGGAACCATACATGCACAAATCTTACTTTTGCAAAATCAAAGAAGTAACTAGTGCTTGTATTGTACTAAAATGCAGAACAGAAAGTCTCTTCTGACCACGAGAAGAATTAGTAAGGGGAGACAGTGAGAGAGTCAAGGAAGAGGACCTTTGTCTGTATAGTTTATGAAAAGATTGTTCTAAAATAATCAGATTCATTCCAGTAGGATTCTTTTCTGTTGAAAACAGCAATTTCCATTCTCTTATAAAAGCATCGTTTACTTGTTCTGAGGATAGGTGTCAAGCCCTGGAGAAAACAGCAGGCAGACTTACCAGTTAAACTGGAAAGTGAGGGAAAGTGTTAGCTGGGATCATGCAGTGCAAATACCTTGTTGCCATTTTCTCTTGTGACAGAGGTATCTGCCTCCATAGCTACAACCCAAGTATCTTCCTCATTCCATTTCAAAAACAGTAGCCAGGCATGGTGGTTGCATAGTTTTAATTCCAGCACAGAGACAGGCAGATCTGCCATCCTAGGCAGAGGCAGGTGGATCTCTGAGTTCTAGGCTAACCTGGTCTATAGAGTGAGTTCCAGGATAGCCAGGGTTACATGAGAAACTCTGTCTTAAAACCATTCCCCCAAAGAGAGAGGCGGGTACGCAAGGACAAGTGTGCGCTGTGCTATGCTTCCTCACAAGGAAATGAAGTGTGCTGCTTTGGGTACAGCTAAACCACATGGTCTTGCTAATAAAGGAGTTTGCAACAGTTTGTTATATTTTGTATTAGTTGAATGACATATTTTGACACATAATAACAACTTTGAAAGAGACCTGAGAGGGTTTGGAGGAAGGAAAGGGAAGGGGGAAATGATGTCATTATAATCTCAAAAATCAACAAATGAAAACTAAAGGGAGGGGAAAGTTTTGCAGGAAATATAACACCTTATCCATTGACTCCAGTGTTAGTGTTGGGTGTGTAGTCCTCTGCCTCCCCATCAGCTATTGGGGCTGTGTTTGGAGCAGCTGTGTAGTATATTGTCTTCCTGTCCCTTCCATCCAAAAAGCTATAATGTTTGGATTGCCAGGCTTCAACTCAATCTTTAATTGAGATTTTCTTTGCAAATAACTATTTGAATCTATGTTTACTGTTAACTGTGAATGTAAAAGTATAAATAATTGGTTCCTGTTTGATTATCTGAGTTACTCCTTAGATTAGCACTTCTCAACTTGTGGATCACAACCGTTTTGGGGTTGCATATAGATATTTACATTAAAATTCATAACAGAAAAATTGCAGTTATAAAGTAGCAATGAAAATAATTTTATGGTTGGTGGTCACCACAACATGAGGAACTGTATTAAAGGTAACAGCTTTAATTTAATTAGAAAGACATGTCAAAATGGTAGAGTGTATTGAAAATGAATCAAAATAAATAAAATAAATGGTACTAGAATTTCCGGATCTTTCAATTGTAGTTTCAGAATCTACATTGAAGTTTCCTTATATTTTAGACTATGCTGAAGTTATATTTATTGTTTTATAGAGCCTTTGGAGACAGGGTTTCATTGTGTAGCCTGGTTTGGAATTTCCTGGCCTTGAGTTTGCTTTCTATCCTCCTACCTTAGCCTGCCAATTGCTAGGATTACAGGCATGGGCCACCTCACCTGTCTCTACAG